AGTAAACAACAGCAACCTTGAAGCAAGAGTGATTGCCGAAGACATCAGAAGCAACTGTATTAGTATGTCTAATCTGACTGAAAATTCAAGTCTACTCACAGTAGATCTGTATGTTGATCTAAACGAAGCTGATCTAGTCAGGTTAAATTATCGGTGCATGACGGATGAATACAAGACAATGATAAAACTAGCCGCAAATTGTGCCCTAGATGTACCTTTCGACCTAGATATACAAGAGTCACTTCTGGAGATTCATAAAAAGATAGAAGATAAAATAACGAGAGATCGAATGAAGGAAATTAATTATTTCATACTTAAAATGATAGAAAATGAGTTGAAACAAAAAGATGACCCACTGTATCAGCCGCAGCGAGCCGCTAATGGTAATGCTCTCCCGCTCTTTGACATAAGAGAATACCGACATTTTGATAAGTTACTTATATTAGGAAAGATGGTGGCGTTAATGGAGGAAGCAGACTACATGAAATTTCGAAAGGCCATTGCTGATGACAAATTATCATATTCACCGGTTCAGCTCGATTATATCCCCTCCCGATATTTTCTCATTAAATGCCTTCTTGAAGATGAAAAAATTGATGAAAAGCTACATCTGATGTACAAATGGCTTGACAAAACTGGCTGCTCTAGATATCGAATATATCTGGAGGAGTACAGCAAGAGGCATGACTTTTCTATTCCTAAACAAGGTATTATAGGACAATATAACTTGCATGAGTTCAGTAGTATATAGTTTTTGCTTATGAGTTGATAAGTGCAGTTATACCTTTATAATTATTATGCATGTAGATATGATAACAAGAATCGCAATTTACATTTCAAATTTAAAGTATCCAAAAACATTCTGTAAGTATAATTGATGCACTCACAATGGTCTACTGATTATTTACTTTATTTATAGGTTCATTATTGATCATTCTTATAGTTATAATTGTGGCACTTGTTGTAGTGCCAATAACATATGGTCAGTCATATGATACAATGAAAAGCTTTAGCTCAATGATTGGTGCTAATACCACAGTTCTGCTTCAACAAGAATGCAAATCAGCAAATGAATTGAAAGACCTTGAGTCAGTTACTGTCTCAACTGAGTCTACGTCAGATTATGATGTTATAATATTTCTAACAAATTATACAGTCTCAAAAGTTCCAGTTCAGTTACCACAAAGATCTTTACCGTATCCTTTGAAAGGTAGACACAATTTTGGTATTAACTACTATCGAAACGACCCAATCTATACAACTGGTCGTAGCATACTATCTTACACAGTTAGCGTAACTGCTGATGATGACAATTCCACAGAGTGTCCAGTAGAGTTTTACCTATTTGATAACAATAATACTTATCGTGAGTTTATACGTTACATTGATAAACGTGTTCCAAATTACATTAATTGTTCCTCCTTGTGCAATGAAGAAAATAGAATCGTTGAGCCAGTACAAGAATTTAATTTCTCAGTCACCACACCAGGCTTCTACTTTGTTGGAGGATCATTGCAAGATGAAGTATCTGTTAACGTTACTATATCTGCTGAATTACAAGCATATAAATATTCATCACATCTACAGCCTCAATGTACCTTAAATTCACATAATAGATACTGCAAGTTTAATGCTAGTGCTTCAAAAGGTCCTATGTGCTTCTTTGCACTTTCCCAAAATAGTTACCTTCAAAATGTAACAATGTCTTTCAACTACCATCATAAAAGAACCACATTTTATAAAATATTTATTCCTGTTGGAATAATTG